GTGTGTGTGTGTGTGTGTGTGTGTGTGTGTGTGTGTGTGTGTATGTGTGTGTGTACACACATGTGTAAATGCGGGTCGGTTTTGTTACGACATTTCCCGTAGCGTGTTATTCTGTACGTTATTTGCTGATAGCAAATTGGTGATATTGCATTGCCAATTGTCTTTTCGGATGAGAGAGTTGAATTGTGCGCGTCACTCAACCGGCCACCGCTTTCGTGTTTTCTCTGTACCATTGCGTACGTAAATTCTCATTTTGTGAAATTAGAATTACATATTTAAAAAATATACAATTATTTTCCGAATAAGCCTTTTTAGTTTCTGGTCGACGTGACGGGTTGGCGGGTGGTCTGGTGTGGGTTGCTCCTTCTTTTCTGTCGAACATTAATTGTCACACATGTCTCTCCTCTTTCTTTTCTTTGTATGTTACTCTCTCGTCTAATATTCGGCACTTGTGTGCTTTCTTTGTGTTGCAATTTAGGTGACGCAAAACTCTGAACTTTAAAAGAAATGGTTGTTTTAAAAAACCTGAAAGACACAAGAACAACATCAATAAAAATGGATGTTACGTCCTCAATGGTATACTAACGTCTTTGCTTTTTCTGTTGTTGTTTTTTTCACAGAGAGTAACTACAAACTGCCTTCTGTGAAGGAAGCCTCTTCTCTTGCTGGACTTACCGCCTGGATATAACGTTCCAAGCTGACAGAGAGCTAGATCTTCAGTGGACGGTAAGCAAAGTTCTGGTATTAATCATTGTTTGTCGCACTCATTCCTTATAGTTCTGCTGTTGCTGTTGTGCGCATTGTCGTTGATGTCTTTGTTATAATTATTGTTCTTGTCTTCTTGTCTCATACTTCTTATTTTTCTATGGTACTCTATTGTGACACCTCTAATCTTCGACGTGGGTGGTTGGCAGGTGCTCTAGTGTGGTTTGCTTCTTCTTTCCTATCAAACATCTATCGTCCTTATCCCCCCTTCTTCTTTTTTATGTTTGTTACTCTCTTGTAACTCCTCTAATCTTCTGGTGCTCATATGACCTTATGCAGTTGTGAGCGCCGTAAAACCTCTACTAAGACTAATCTTGACTCTTATAATATAACCTGACTGTGTTTCTAGCGCCATAAAACTCTTACTTGAACTGAAATAAAACTTGTTGTTTTTTAAAAATATTTTAAACTCTATCGTCAGTGGCTAACTTGAGTCTGATAATTTTACTGACGTCTAAATGGTATTTGAATCTGTGGGCATGATTGATTGAGGCATGAACGGCACTTCCACTGTTGTGCTCCCCGTTTCGATTGAGACGGAAAACGAGGTGTCGTTGCCGTATTATTATTGTTGTAAGTATCAACTCAGATTGCGTCCTTGGTACTTTCATAGACGGTTCAAACACTCAAGTTTTGTTAAGATGGAAGAGGGGAGATTTCGGGGGAGGG